TGCGCCCGTCGGAGCGCCCCCGGTGCCAGTCCCCCCATCCCTCCAACCCTTTTGCTCCTGAAGGCTCACCCTGCCGCTCCCTCCTGGTCCCATATCCCCATCCTCCCACCCGTTCTGCTCCCAGGCTCTCCCGCGGGCGCTCTCTCCTCCTTGCCCCACTCCCAGGACCTTGGCACTTTCCTCCTGCACCCCCCACCCCCTCCCTGTGCCCCTGGGGCATCTTCAGGTTCGTATCTCTTCCCACCTCCCTACCTGCTGCCGCTCCGGAAGGACGCGTGGACCCAGGGACTGCACCGCTGCCGCGTACTGCGGTAGCGGCCGCTGTGTGCCTGCCCACCTCTCCGCCCTCCCACCCAGGCGCACCCAGCGCCGCTCCTGACTTTTGTACTCGGGGCTCCTGTGGGGGCTCCACTTTGCCTGGAGCATCCTGGGAGGGGGGCTCTAGTCCCTTAGCACCCTTTCCTGCCGTCCTCCCTGGCCACCATCTCCCTCCCCACCCCCACTTTCCTCCTGCTCAGCCTCACTTTGTGATTCAGCATTTTCGGGGTTGGTAACTTTCTTTGCTTCCTGGCATGGTGGGGACCAGGCTGTGGGGCTGAGGGCAGGGGGTCTCCGTCCTGCGGGTCGTGGGGTCACCTTAGGGAACAGACCTGCGCTGCCCGGTGCAGAGCAGGGACCTGCTCCTGGGGCTGGCTCTTCCGCCCCGTTCATCTGTTCCCCTGTGTTGAACCACATCCTGGGGGAGATGACATAAGTAATAGCTCTTGGGGGAAGCGGGCTATTAGGCTTTATGGAAATTAATACATCACATCCCAGGATCAGGAACACCGAGTTCTGGCCACAGCTGTCCCGCTATCTGTCATGTCAGGATTTCTTTCTCTGCAACTTCTCCTCCCCCTCAAAAACCCCCTCCAATGCCAGGAGCCAGGAGCCAGCGCCCGCTCTGCTAGGGAAGTCGGGTTGAGGTCCATGTTGCAGGGTTTGGGGACCTGCGTGTGGAGAGTCCCATCTGCCTTCCTGATTGTCCCCCGGCAAACGCATCCACCTGCAGAGCCCAGGCTGGTGGCAGTTCCTGGGCTCCTGCCCCTGTGCCCTCGAAGTGGGGGGCCCAGAGGGCATTGGCTCCCCAGGTCATGTCCATAGAGACTACGGATGCTCTCCAGGTCCACCCTCACCCCCCGCCTCGATGGCACTGCGGGTGTCTGGGCTAGAGCACATTCCCACCTCAGCAGCAGCTGCTGGGGGCTTCCCATAGGAAACCCAGGTCCAGGCCTGTGTCTCTCTCTGCTCTGCCAGTCCCCAGACCTGTGGGCACTGCCCGGCGCCTGGGGACTGAGCCAGGCCTGGAGGGGTTGGGCATGAAAAGTGTGGAACCTGGTCTCACGCTTGACACCTTCTGAGTTGGGGTGTGGAGCTGGGTGGGAAGAAGCTGGCACGCACGGATTGAACACTGGAGGGGGCAGGATGGGACACATGCCTTGCCTGGTGAGGGTCAGAGGGCAGTGAGCTCTGGGCAGGGCAGCCCGAGAGGCCTCAGACCCCGCGGCTTTCTGTCTCTCCTTTCAAGGATCTTCTAACCCCAAACGACTGAGGAGGAAGTGAGAGGCACGAGTCTTGATTTGCAGTTTCCGGGAGGGAGGCCTCCTCTAGCTGGAGCAGGAAGGCCTCCCCTGCTGTTAGAGCCCAGGCAACCGGCTTGTTGCAGGACTCTGACAGCAGGCAGCGTGTCCGTATCCTTGACTAAATTCGCAGTGACCTTCACGGAGCCAGAGCAGTTTTCTGGGGTCCCTGAATAATGGGTCAGAGCGGGGTCAACTTCAGGTATATTCGGGGAGGACCGTCTCTGAGGGTGTCCAGGGCCAAGGACCCCACACCGCTCTCCACCCCCCTTCCTGCCCAGCAGCTGGGGCTATTCACAGAGCTGCCAGCATCCCAGCCACCTGCCCCCTCAGAGGAGTCAGCAGAAGCCCAGAGGCAGTGACTCCCTCAAGTTCAGCTGTGGCCTGAACTAGGTGTTCCCCATCCTCCTCAGATGTGATGTGTTAATTTGCATAAATGCTAATGGCCATTTCCCCCAAGAGCTATCCTTATGTCATCTCCCCCGTTCATTCAGCGGCAGGGGCGGGGCCAGGTCAGGCCCCTCCCTTCCTGCCAGTTAGAGCCAGGTCACTTCTTTGGCTCTGCCCTTTGGAGGAAGCCAGCCACTGGGACGTGCAGACCTCGGCCACCCTCGGGGAAGGCCACTTTGGAGGTGTTGACGGCAGGTGTGGAGGAAGCCAGCACCCTGGGGTGTGTCCGAGTCACTGGGGGGGGCTGTTGGGAGCAGAGAATCCTTGTGACGCCATCCTGCTGACCTGGCAGGCCCCCAGAATGAGGACACTGTGGTGCTCAGATGTCAGAGAGATGGCAGGGCCTGGCCACTGGGCGGGATGACGGGGAGGAGAGATGGCACTTCCCACTGACTTCACAGCGGGTCTTGTAAATAACCCTGCGGGGTAGGCTGGTTAGCCAGGATGGGGAAACTGAGGCACGGGGGTGGTGAGACTGAGCCGGCCTCCTGGCTCCGGAGGAAGCCTTGGTTCTGTTCCTGCTGCGCTCCCTCCTCATCAATCCTTAGCCCCCCACCGACGTCAGGGTTCGATCCCAGCTCCCGGGGATGTGAAAACTGCCTTTCTCACGAGTGGGAACCCCAGCACGCTCAGCCCCCACTCACTGTGTGCCCCCCTTTCTTGGGGTGACTCTGAGGAGGCGTGGTCCTTGGCTCAGCCAGTTCAGGGGAGAAGAATGGAGCAGGGGCTCCCTGAGAGAGCACACCTGGGCCAGGGGGGGATGTCACCCTCGTTCATCCATTCACCGCGTCACTGTGAGGGTAGCCCGCAGCTCTCCGTGAGGCCTGGCCTTGGCAGGTACCATCTCCCCGCCAGGTGGGCACGCGCAGGGCTGCGTCTTCTCAGCCCTTTGCCACATCCGCTGGGGCTCAGCGGGCCTGCCTCCCCTCCCCCGTGCCCTGGGAGGCTCTGGCCCCGCACTCCAGCCGGAGGGTGTCCTGCACCGCACACCCCACTTCCCAACTCCTAGCCCTGAGGGACGGGGTCTCCGGAGGCCACGGCCTGCTCTGCCCAATGGCCACGTGGTTAACCCCAGAGACATCAGAGCTAACGCCTTGTGCCACGCCAGCGCAGCCAGGTTCGGCGAGCCTGAGGTGGGGGCGGTGAAGGATTAGGCTGGGGCTGGGTGGAACGCTGCCCTCTCTGATGGAGAGACAGCACCACGGCCTGCGAGCCGAGTCTTTATTTTATAGCAGATTCCACGAGGCAAAGCAAGGGCATGGTCACAACGTTCTCACGGGTTTCGAATCTACTCAATTACATGCACCTGGTCAAGCTTTGTTTCCTTGCTGCACCTCCCGCAGCCCACATCACTCAGCCACGTGGGACCACAGGTTCGGACCATAACCTGTCCAAACACTGTAGCCGCTCTCCACAACCCCTCCCCGTACCTGGCACCTGCCTGCCCTTACCTAGCACCGGCCTCCCTCATACCTGGCAGCTGCGTCCGTGAGCTCTCTCCTTGCAGGCAGCCTGTCTTCTCGCAGAACTGATTCCCAGTGCGGTGTGGGACGCAGATGAAACAGGGCTGGAGAAAGGGAAAGGCAGGCGCAGGGGCCCTCGCTCGGCCTCATGTCCGCGCTGCAGACGCGGTAGGCGCTCTCCCCACCGCGATCTGGAGCCCTGGCTGCTGCACATTGAGACCCATCACCCGATGCAAGGCGGAAGCCAGGCTCACGTCTCTCCTCAGAACCCACCTCACCTTCCAAGACGAAGCAGCAAACGGTTCACGCCCAGGTCCGTTTCCCCAGTAAGCACGCGACATCCCCACATCCCGGGTCCCAGCGACGCGGTATCCTGCTCACAGGGCCCTCTGTCACCGTCTTGACCCCTGGTCCTCGGGGGGAACCTGAGGGTCTGGCCCTCTGCCTCTCAGCCACTTGGCCCCCGTCTGCGTCTCCCCTTTTTCTGGATCAGCGAAATGGGATGCCTTGGGTGGAAGCATCGGGACAGTCCCTGGCACAGACACTCAGTAACGTCACGTCTAGTCACAGACTGAGCCCAACCATTGCCCTCCCTGGTGGCTCCCGGGACAGCTGGACAGAGGGTCGCTGTGCACGCACAGGGTTGGTGGGAAGAAAAGTCGCTTTTCGGGTTAACCGGTCCCTTCAGGCATCCGCTCGTCTATCCCGTCGGCAGTTTCCACGGTGCGTGATTCTGTTCCTGCCCTAAGAGGCCTTTCTGGGGACACTGTGAGGTGTGGGGTCAGGGCTCAGCCTTCCAGCCGCACCGATGGCTCGGCATCTAGTGTGACGGCGGAGAACAGGGGACACGTCAGGGCCACAGGGAGTGGGGCCCGAAACAGTCCCCAGGGTCCTGGCGCAGCTCCGCCAGCTCCTCCCTTCACCAGCCACTGGGCGAGGGGTGCCGAGGCCACACTTTGAGAAACACTTCCCAGCTCTGTTTATGGGTAAGCTTTCCCGCTCCCTCCTTAACGTAGCGCAGGAGGAAACGCTGATGGTGACAGCCCTGGCGAGGGCTTCGCCAGCATCTTCGGTTCTCTGACCCGGGAGCCTGCGTGTGTCCTGGGGGATGACCCCTGCGCTTTTGTCAGCTTGAATCTCAAGTCACACTGTCTCCGGTGCGCGGTGCGGGGTGCGGGGTGTGCATGGTGAGGTGCTCTTGTTAGCAGCGTCCCTTCTCTTGGAACGAGGTTTGGTTGGGGTGCTGGCTGTCCTAGCCTGTCCCCCGTGGTGTGGAGGAAGCAGAGCTGGGCCTGTAGCATCTCCGCCACCCCTCCGCCGCCGCCCCATCCCCCGTGGCATCTCCCCTTCCCCGAAGCCTCTCCCTGCTCTGCGGCTCCCCCCCACCTCCCGGGATTGCCTGCCCCTGTCAGTGAGGAGGAGGTATTTTTAGTCGCCCAGGCCAGGAGGTGTTCAGGTGTCAGGGACAGGAGGCCTGGAGCCATCTCCATCCATTTGCTCCTCAAAGGACACACGATGCCCAAAATAGGAACTGCGGATCCTAAGGAGCAATGGCCACCTCCCACAGGGAGAGCAGTCACCCGTGTACACTCGCCTGGAGAAGGAGGGCGGTCACCCCGCGTACACGCCCCTGGAGAAGGAGGGAGCGGGGTCCGGGCCGCCGAGGCACCGGCACCGCCTCCGGGACTTTCCCTTCATCCTGAAACACAGGTTTGGGAAAGGTGGCACGTGGACCCGCTGTCCTAACAAAAGGACCCGTTTAGGGGGACAGTCAGCCATCCTGGGCCCGATGTCGCCCGGAGGAGCCACGTGCTCCCCACCCTGCTTTGCGCCGGCCGGGCCTGGCATGGATTCGCTCCTCCCCTCACTGACCGCTGCCCGCAGGGCCCCCAGTCGGTGGGAGGAGACGCGGGGTCCAGTGCACGGGGTGGGGGAGACTACGGGGGGACTGCGTCAGGTCACGGGCAGGAAGGACAGGGTGGCCTCCTGGGTGGGGAGGGCTGCGTGCAAAGTGCAGACATGGCGGAGGGTGCTGGGGGAGACATCGGGCTGAGTGAGGATCTGGGGCACTGTGCATCCTGAGAAGACGCCTCCTGCTCCACAGGGAGCTGAGCTGGTCCTCCATGCTCCTGGGAGGAGGGTCGCTAGCCAGGGCCCGAGAGGCCCCAGCCCTACAGTGAGCCATGGTTCCCTTGGGGTCCCCTGAGCTGCTCCAGCTGCCGTGGTCACCACCACCCTACACACACACACTCACACACTCACACACTCACACAGGCAGAGACACACACACTCACAGAGACACACACACAGGACACACACACACAGACACAGAGAGACACACACACTCACACAGATAGACAGACAGATACACACACACACACACACACACACACACACACACACGGCCTGTGTGCCCACTGGGCCCTCGCTCCTGCCTCACCCTGGGCTGGAAGGTTCTAGCAAAGCCCACTGGGGTGTCGCTGGGAGGGATGCAGAAGAGAGGGTCATTCCCCACTGCCCTGCAGCATGGTAACCATGGTAACCATGAGCAACTGCTAAAGGCGCCCAGTCACCTGCTGGGCTGTATGGGTGCTAAGGGCCTGGCTGGGCCCCAGGTCTTCCCAGAGGGTCCCTGGGCAGCAGCCTGTGTGGGCGACAGGTGCAGCCCCGGGCACCCTCCCGGCCTCTGCAAGGAAAGGCACCACGGCCTGGGGACCCTTCCCCCAGGCCTCCAGGGGGAGAGGCCCCTGTCCCCAGCTCAGGCGGAATCCCCGCCTCTGAAGCAGCCGGGAGCGGGCGTTGAGCCCATTGGCTAACCCTGCCCTCATGGGCGTGATTCCATCCGGCATTTCGGGGCAGGGGTCTGGGCTCCTCCAGGCCTGAGGCCTCAGGGAAGTCTCCTCACTCTTTGAGGCCATGTAGGGCCTGAGTCCCGTCTCCTTGTTTTAGGGAGAGGGAAACTGAGGCTGGGGGGGAACTGTACTTGCTGGCAGAGTGGGGTCACCGTGTGGGGCCCCACCAGTGTCCTGTAGGTCACTCTGGGCACAGTCCATGTGGTTATTGTAGCTGATGTCCAGTCCCTCCTTGACCCTGTGGTCCGTGAGCAGGGGGCGTGTCTGTCCCAGCACCTCTGCACCCCAGCTCAGCCCTCGGCAGGCACACAGCAGGAGTGGGCTCCCCCAGAAGGTGAAGCCATGTGGGTAATGGCACAGGGAGGGTGGCCCACCCAGCAGGAGCCACCCTCTGCAGAGCTAGGAAGGGGTGTGGTACCCCAACCCCGGACTGGGCGGCTGCCGCCTAACTCGAGACCACCAGACAGCAGAACCCCCGGCAGAAAGCAAACCTATACCCAACCTTCCCTAGGGCCCTGCCCCATGCATCAGCCCCTCCTATGGAGGGTCCACCACGCATTGGGGGCTCCAGTGCCCCCCAACCCAGGCCCCTTCCTAAGCCAGGTAGTCCCACGGGGACCTGCTCATTTCCCGGTACATGTTGGAAAACTGTGGGTGTCAGGGGCAGGACCCCCATGAAATGTGGAAAGCACCCCCCCCCAGGCTGGAGGGGCACGCGCCCTACCCAGGTGCCCCACAGCCTCCACAGTGCCCACAGTCCTCCGAGGCCCCGCCCTGCAAGCCTGGACGGCTAGTCGCCCCAGCTCCCTCCCAGTGCTGATGTCCAGGGCTCAGGGCTGTGGAGGAAGAAAAGGCCACAGTCCTGACTCATGAGGTGTGATCTGGGGAACGAGGTCCTACCAGTGGCCCTTGCACGCGCCCTACCCAGGTGCCCCACAGCCTCCACAGTGCCCACAGTCCTCCGAGGCCCCGCCCTGCAAGCCTGGACGGCTAGTCGCCCCAGCTCCCTCCCAGTGCTGATGTCCAGGGCTCAGGGCTGTGGAGGAAGAAAAGGCCACAGTCCTGACTCATGAGGTGTGATCTGGGGAACGAGGTCCTACCAGTGGCCCTGGCGCCGCCCACTGCTCTCCAGCCTCCCTTCTGTCTGCTCACCGGGCCCAGGCGCTGACCTGCAGTGCACCCGCCACCTCGGGAGCTGTGGGTCCTGAGGCTGAAGGCAAGGGACCAGCCAGGGACGCCTGGAGACGGGCTCCCTGATGTCATCTTCCGCAGGCGGACACTCCAATAGCGCTTTCCCCCAGGGCACGCTCCTGCCACACCCTGCGCAACAGGCAATGCCCCAGGGAGGGCAGAGCAACCACGGCCTCTGGGGCCTGGCACCCAGCCAGGCAGAGCAGCAGGCGGGACACTCCCCGAGGCTGGGACCGCGCCAGGTGCTGAGGCAGCTGTGGTCCTGAGGCTGGCATCCTGGGCGGAGGGCCAGGGGCGCCCAGCCGCCTGGCATCTGGATGCATGCGCTCTGCCTGCTGCCCCGCTGCCTCCCCGAAAAGACCGCACACTCAGGGTTTTACAAGGAGCCACTTAATTATGCAGACAGTTCCTCCTAACTGCAGACTGTCCCAGGGCGCCCGGATTGAGTGGTCCCAGGGGCAGCCAGAGAAGGGCGGGGTTTCATGAGCAGGTCTCCAGGGGAGAGGGCCTCCCGGGGGAAGGCTCTACAGCTCAGAGCCTTCACCCCTGCAGGAAGGAGCAGGCACTTTATCTGCAGCTGGAAGACGGTGGTGGTGGTGGTGGCGGTGATGGTGGTGACAATGGTGGTGATGGTGACAATGACGGGTATGGTGGTGATGATGATGACGGTAGTGGTGATAGTAATGGTGGTGGGGATGATGATGGGGATGGTGGTGATGGTGATAATGATGGGGATGGTGGTGGTGATGGTGATGGTGGGGATGGAGGTGTTGACAGTGATGGTGGAGGGGATGATGGTGGTAATGATGGGGATGGGGATATGGGTGTGGTGGTGGTGATGATAGTAATGGTGATGGTTATAGTGGTGATGATAGTGATAGTAATGGGGATGGAGGTGGTGATGATGATGGTGATGGTGGGAATGATAGTAATGGTGATGGTTATGGTGGTGATGATGGTGATAGTAATGGGGATGTAGGTGGTGATGATGATGGTGATGGTGGGAATGATAGTAATGGTGATGGTTATGGTGGTGATGATGGTGATAGTAATGGGGATGGAGGTGGTGATGGTGGGAATGATAGTGATGGTGATGGGGATGGAGGTGTTGATAGTGATGGTGTAGGGGATGATGGGGATGATGGGGATGGGGATATGGGTGTGGTGGTGGTGATAGTAATGGGGATGGGGATGGAGGTGGTGATGATGGGGATGATAGTAATCAGGATGGTTATGGTGGTGATGATGGTGATGGTAATGGGGATGAGGA